GAGGAGGAGGAGGAGGAGGAGGAGGAGGAGGGAGGAGGGAGAGGGGGAGGGGGAGGAGGACAAGCTAGGTGCGCTCGCGTCATATCTGACGTCTTAACACCATACACTCCAATCCCTTACCATGGCGCTGATTTTCTCTATCCGCGGACGCGTGTCGTAGCGGACCTGTGGCTCCGCGCGCGCGTGCGTAACTAGTGGGTGGTGTGTGCGCGTGCGTGCGTGCGTGTGTGTGCGTGGTGGTTGTCGTGGTGGTGGTGGTGGTGGTGGTGGTGGTGGTGGTGGTGGTGGTCGTGGGTGGTGTGTGGTGGTGGTGGTGGTGCTGGTGGTGGTGGTGTTGGTACTGGTGCTGGTGCTGGTGCTGGTTGTGGTGGTGGTGGTGGTGGTGGTGGTGGTGGTGGTGGTGGTGGTGGTGGCGGTGCGGCGCGGTGGTGGCGGGCGGATGGGCGCGCGAGAAAAAGGCCCGCGCTGGGGCGAGAACGCCATCCTGAACGACGGAGGCCAAACACCGATCCGAAAATGAGGCCCACGCTGCAGCGGGAGCACGATTCGGAACGATTCGGGAGCAGAAATGAGGCCGGCGCCTCAACGAGAGCAGCATTTTGGGAAAAAATGACGCCGGCGCCTCAGCGAGAGTCGTTTCCCGGGATTTCCCGGGGATCCTGTGTGTAAAAAAACAGTACGCGGAGGGTGCGCGGCCATCACCCGGACGCCATCAGGGGAAGAGGGAGAGTATTTTCATATTGAGTAATTGTGGAGGGGGAGTGGGAGTTGGAGGAGGAGAAGGAGGAGCGGGAGGAGGAGGAGGAGGAGGAGGAGGAGGAGGAGGATGAGGAGGAGGAGGAGGGGGGGGAAGAGGAGATGAGGAAGAGGATTCGACCGCCGAGGGAGCGCGGTCGTGGCAGCACGATTTGTGACCGACCCTACAGGCGGGCCGCTGAAGAAGGAACCCTTTTCATTTGGAAGGGGCTCAGTGTTCCTTCAGTGTTTTACAGTTTGTCTTATGTGCTCCTTGGTTTTCGATGGGCGACCGAAGAGTCACGTATGGGAAAAAGAGGCCTCGTTCCTTATTTCGGGTTCCTTATGACTGCGTTTCCACTGTACTATAGTTGCGCCGATTCTGTTGGGTTGGAAGGGCGGGGGAGGAAAGGGAGGGAGTCGCGTCCCTGACAGGACGGCCTGGAGACCTGCAACGGGCAGTACAGCCTCACGCCCACCGTCCACCACGGCCGCCCCGTCTGGAAGAAGGCGGGCACGGGGCCTCGCAGGCTTTCATAGTAAACGTTTTGGGGGGGGAGGTAAAACAAATAAACAAAAATAACCCCTTGCAGCCCTCGCACTCGGCTCCCTCCTCGTCCTCCGCATTTGCCTCTTCGGGCCGCGTGGGACTTCGCTCGCCTTCCGGGTTTCCCGCCCGCGATAGGCTCATTTGGACGGGGACTTCGACTCCCCAAACGCACGTGGGTTGCGCGGCAAAACACTGCTTCAGGACAGGTGGCGGTAGGGACCTCCTCACCTCACTTCATCCCGTATTGGTGCCAAGGTGGAATAATGCGCCCGTGTGCCAGATCAGACCAACTCTCAGCATGTTTTATCGCATGATTGGTTTGTTCTGTCTGGGCCTGGTACATATCACACAGACTTGAATCTGTTAGCCTCAACTGTTACGGGCCGCCCGTGCGTTCACATGGGCGAAGAGCTACACGCAACAACTCATGCGATGTTGAAGGTGTTCTGCTGCCGCGGCCGCTGTGGGGCAGGTGTGCTATCTTGCGGTGCTGGCCGCCGTCTCGGCTCGGGATCGGCGCTCCTCGCGGCAGCGCTGGCCACATCGCCAGCTCGAACGGGCGCTCTTGGGGAGGATGGGTACCAGGAGGGAAGCGACGGGGAGGAGAGCGGTGGGATTTTGAGGGTCAAGAAGTTTCTGGACCGAGCGCTGCCCACATCCAGGATGCCCATATTCTTCCGGACAGCGACAGGGGCCTTTTGTGAATATGCAGGGGGCATCGTGGCAATCATGATCAGTCTCGATCGCCCGTCTCTTCGATTCACCACAGTTGCACATGGATCTGTGTGGCGGGGTCACAGGGTAAGAGAGGCTACGAGGAGGAGGAGGAGGAGGAGGAGGAGGAGGAGGAGGAGGCTTTGCGACAAGCCACTTGGGCTGCAGGAAAAGTGAGGGGGGGACGCCGATGCGAGGAGCTGCAGAGGGCGACGGTCGTAGCGGTGCCAGCAGATGTGGCCCGTGTGGTCTCTGCTTGAAGGCCTGGGCCAAGCCCGTTGGTGGCGCCGACGGACATCGGGCGGGGTTAGGACGAGGATAGATCCGTTCCAGAACGCCTTGAGAAGGCCGCGGCGCCCGAGGCATCCTCCAGTGCCGCCGGATCTCAGAGATTCACGATTTCTCCTCACCCGGATTTATCCTCGTCCTGGCCTCCTTCGTCTTGGGGCAGGCGTCGGATCCCTTGCGGTACCTCTTCTTCTCCGAGCCCCAGAAGACCTGGCGGGGGGGGCGGGGAGGTGCGGGGCAGAGCGGCGGGCGGGCATTTTGGCGAGGAGAGAGAGAGCTGGGCACGCGCGTCCATGTTGCTGTTGTTGTTGGACTCTTGCGTTTGCAGACTGATCGCTAAAGGTCTTTAGTTTGGGTTTCCTCCCCTTTTTCTTTCGGCGGTGAACAGGACTGGTCCTACAGCCTCCTCCTCCTCCTCCTCCTCCTCCGCAGTCGTAGTCGTTGCTGTCGTCGTCGTCGTCGTCGTCGTCGTCGTCGTCGTTGTCGGTGGCCGAGCATCGTGAGCTCGGTCCGGGCCAGGACGCACGCTGGCGCGTTGATCTCCCCGCCACGCGACGCCTTCTCGCCAGGCCGCAGCGGCCCTTCCGCAGCCCCGAGCCGCCAGACGTGAACGGGTTGCCGCGGCTCGCCCCAGATGAGAAGGAGGCCGCGAGCGCGGAAACGCTGCTAGCGCTGCGCGCGGTTCGGGTGGCAGGCGTCTGCTCGGAGATCGGGGTGCCGTAGTCCCCGAGTCCGGCGGCCACACCAGGCCACCCGTGCACGTTGAACCTGCCGGAGGTCAGAGCGCTCCTCGAGCGCCCAGGTGTTACGGACGTCTCCTTCGCGGAGAGCCCCCTCGGCGCTGCGGCAATGGAGCCAATTGCATTCCGCGGCGCGGTGCGCTTCCCAGAACCTCCACCCAGCGGAGGCGCCCCTGCGTAGGGAGCTCAACAGGATCGTCGTCGATGGCCCCATTGCCGCTGCCGAGGCCGCCTTGGTGCCGCCGCGAAAACGGAGTCGATGGGGGGGCCGCTGCGAGAGTGCGCCGTCAGGCGGAATGGCTGCGGAAAGCCCGTCCGAACCTTCTCCGGCCACTTCGGCCGCGCCCGCGGCCCGTAGCCTTGCTGCAGCGGGGCTGGAATCAGCCTGGGCCCAGTTCCCCTCGCGCTTCCGCGGCGATCAAGGCGACCCCAAACAGGCGCGCCGGCGAGAAGATCGGAGGCGTGCGCGACGCTGCCGACGTGGTGCTGCGCATCGACGGCCACGGGGTGCTCGGGCCGATCCTCCGCGCGTTTTCCGACCGCGCGCTGGTCCGCGACGTCACCCTCGAAGCGTCGCTGCTGCGCGTCGTGGAGCCCCCGCGGCAGATCGACGGCGGTCATGACCGCTGGCCATCCGAGGCGCAGCTGGGCCACGTCCGGTTCCAGCTGGCGGAGGTGTTTCGCGCGGAGGGCGCCCGCGCCGTGGACGCCGGCGCCTGCTATTCGCCCGTCCGTGTTCGCCTTCTTCGCAGGTGGGCGCAGGGGGCGTCCGACGCGGGCGCCGCGGTGCGTCGCTGGCTGCGGGGGGGCGCCCCTGCGGGCATTGAGCAGGGCCCTGTGGAAGCCGACGGGGTCTCCCCGCGGGCCGACGCCACTGCTCCGCCAGACGACCCGTCCGAAGCGCGCGACGCGCCGTAAGAGTGCCACAACTACTCGAGCTTCGACCGAGGCCGCGCGGCCCGGGCCGAGGTCAGCAAGTTCGTCGAGGCGGGGTGCCTGCACTTCTGCAATGACCTCCTGGCGCTTCGACGCTTCGCGGGTGCCGAGCCTGTCAGATCCCGCTTCGCGGTGCGGGTCAGAGAGAAGCGCGGCCGCGTCGAGCGCCGCGTCATCCTCGACTTGCGGCAGTGGGCCGTCTCGCGCTGCGCGCGCAAGACCCATTGCGCGGCCCCTCCTCGATGGTCGGGCGCGGTTCGGGACGCTCTTTTTCGCCGCGCCGCCCGCCGCGAGAAGCTCGCCGAAGGGTGCCCCGAGTGCAGCGTTGAGCGCTTCGGTCGCGACTTTGTCGACGCCTTCTGGAACATTCCCTCGCGTCCCGCGGGGAGGCGCCACTTCGTGGGCTCGGCCGAGGGGAAGCTCCTGGTATGCCTCAGGGCTGCCCAGGGCAGCCGCAGTGGGCCGCCTTCCTGGGCGGCCATCGCCTCGCTGCCGGCGCTCGCAGTCCCTCTTCCTGCGGGGCGCTGCGGGGGGGCGGCCTGCCCGCCCCCAGCTGTTTGCGCGGGCGACCCGAGCGCGTGTCTTCAGAGCCCCGAATCATCAGGGGTAACTCGGGTCAGGGATAACTCGGGTTCCTTTTTCGGGAATCCAAACCCGAGTTACCCCGGACCCGAGTTACCCCGGATAACTCGGGCGTCCAGAGCCCCGAATCATCAGGGGTAACTCGGGTCAGGGATAACTCGGGTTTGTTTTTTCGGGAACCCAAACCCGAGTTACCCCGGACCCGAATTACCCCGGATAACTCGGGCGCCCAATGTCTGCGGGGCAGCATGGGAGAGCGCGACTGCATCATCGCCATCGCGGTCTTCGTTCGGCGCGTGCTCGGCCTCCCTCTCGCCTCTGCCAAGGCCCAGCGGGGGGCGCGCAGTCGCCTGGACAGGATGCGTTTTCGAAGGCTCTGAGGGCCGAGTCTCGTGGCGCTGTCCGCGGAAAAAGGCGCAGGAACTCGGTCCTGGTCGCCGAGTTATTCGACCAGAAACGCGCTTCTCATCAAGGGGTTCCGCTCATTCATCGGGCTCGCCAGCCATTTCGCCGCGGTCCCGTGGGCATGGCGGCCGTTCCTGTCGGGCAACGCGGGCAGCGCGCCGCCGGGTTGCGCGCGGGCCCGCGTCATCCGGCATTCTTTTTTGCGGCTTCGGGCGCCCGCGGCGCCTCGCCTGGGGGCGCGGGGGCATGCCTCCTCGTGGGCGGCCGGGTCGTCTCGTAGCGCTCCAAGGCGGTCGCGGACCCCGAGGCTAGATTCTTCCAGCTGGAGGTCGGCTCCCACCGGGTCCAGCAGGTGTGGGAGACGCTCGACTTCCTCGTTGCCCCGAGGATCTGGAAGGTCCACTGGGCCGAGGCCCGAGTCAAGCTCGAGGTCCGCTCGGACGACGTCGCGGCCTTCGGCGCGATCTCCGGGCTGCGTGGAAAAGGTCTCGCTGTAGGATCCTTTCAGGGTTTCCGTAGGTTCTCTATAGGGTTTGTATAGGAGTCCAGAAGGGCCTATAGAATTTCTCGCTTCGCTCGCGCGCACATGTAAGTCACCACTCCGATTCAGCACATGAATTCTGAAGGACTCCTAATGTTTTTTTTGTTTTTCGTTCCTGGCGTTGTTGTTGCTGTTGTTGTTGTTGATGTTGTTGGGGGGGGACTCCGGGGGCCGGGGACGACTCCTGCCCCCCCCTGGAGGAGAGCGCTGGAGGGGCCTCGAGTGCTGGGGGCCAGGGAAGATCCCTGTCCTTGTCGTTGTTGTTGCTGTTGTTGTTGTTGCTGCTGTTGTTGATGTTGTTGTTATTCTTATTATTGTTGTTGTTGTTGTTGTTGTTGTTGTTGTTGTTGTTGTGTTTGTTGTTTGTTGTTTGTTGTTTGTTGTTTGTTGTTTGTTGTTTGTTGTTTGTTGTTTGTTGTTTGTTGTTTGTTGTTTGTTGTTTGTTGTTGTTGTTGTTGCTGTTTAATTCTCACTACTAGTGACCAGTGTTGTTGTTGTTGTTGCTGCTGTTGTTGTTGTAGACTAGCAATGTTGATCCCCCTTCGGTGGCCAGTGTGTTTTTTTCAATTGAAGTGCTTCCCGTGGGGCTCGCCTTTTTGTTGTTGTTGTTGTTGTTGAACTCTCATTCTTGAAGACTAATTATTGTTGATCCCCCCCCACCGGTGCACATTGATTTTTTTCGATTGAAGTGCCACCCCCGGGGCTCGCACCTTGTTTTTTTCTCAAGGAAAGTCTTCATGCTCAAACTGTGCCCCTGCCCCCCGGGCTACAACAACAACGGCTCCCGCCTGAGACTTCTTCGATTTTTACTCAGGACCCCCGCTCCCGCCTAAGACTTCCGCGCAATTTACTCAGGAAAGGCGCTCCCGTTTGAGATTTTCTTTTTTTTTTGTTTTTATTTTTTTTTTCCTTTTTTTTTTTTTTTATTTTTCTTTTTTTCTTTTTTTTGATTTTCCCTTTTTTCTTTATTCTTTCTTTTTCATTTCTTCGCAATGTAATCAAGACCCCCGCTCCCGCCTGAGACTTCCGTGCAATTTACGTGGGAACGGCGCTCCCGCCTGAGACTTCTTCGAATTTTACTCAGGACCCCTGCTCCTGCCTGACATTTCCGCGCAATTGACTCAGGAACGGCGCTCCCGTTTTTGTTTTTTTTGTTGTATTTTTTTTTTTGTTTTTTGTTTTTTGTGTTTTTTGAGATTGAGTGGGATCTTGTGTTGTTTTTTTTTTGTCTCTTTATTTTTATTTTTTTTCGTTATTTCTTCTTTTTTTTCTCTTTTTGTTTTTTTCCTCGCAATTTAGTGAGGACCCCCGCTCCCGCCTGAGACTTCCGTGCAATTTGCTCAGGAACGGCGCTCCCGCTTGAGACTTCCTCGCAACTTAGTCAGGGCCCCCGCTTCCGCCCGAGATTTCCTCACAATGTACTCAGGACTGCGCTCTCGCGTGCGACGTCCTCACAAATTATTATGGGACTGCGTTTCGGCGCTCAGGAACCACGCACGCGCCAAGGACGCCTTCACAACGTGGTATCTTCCCTCTTCCTTCGTCCTTCCCCCTCCCCTTCCTCCCACTCTCCCTCGTTCTTCCCCTCCTCCTCTTGCAGGGCCCGCGCCAATTCCAATGGCGGGCAGAGAGATGTACGCCCCCGAAGGATTGTCCGCCCGTTCCGGTTTGCCCGTACGTCTAAGCCCGCCGGCCCAGCAAAGAGAAATAATCCCCCCGAAAGGGGTGTGATCGAAGACGAAGAGGGCGGGTATCGAGGGTGTAGGGTATACGTGTTGAATGACTCGCGGGCAAGTAAGAGCGTACAGCCTTAAAATGGTTGTTGTTGTTGTTGTTGTTGTTGGTGTTGTTGTTGTTGTTGTTGTTGTTGTTGTTGTTGTTGTTGTTGTTGTTGTTGTAATTGTTGTTGTTGTTGTTGTTGTTGTTGTTGTTGTTGTTGTTGTTGTTGTTGTTGTTGTTGTTGTTGTTGTTGTTGTTGTTGTTGTTGTTGTTGTTGAACATTATTTATT